CCCAGGCCTGACGGGATAGCCAGATTCTGAGGGCTTTGCGGAAGGTCTGGAGGGTGGTGAGGGTACGAATCTCCACGGGGAGATCGTTCCATAGGTACGAATCTCCACGGGGAGATCGTTCCATAGGGACGATCCAGCTCCTTGATGATAATTTGGGATTCAAATGAGAACCACTGCAGAACAATACACCAGAAGAATGCGTGCCAGCTTATTATCAGGGGAATGAATACTGTTTTCCCAGTGAAAGGATCAATCATTTGTCTCGGAGCTGGCCATATCAAATATAACGTCCAAACTCTTCTCCGTTTTGTTCCTTTTCCTGCTGCCTGTTCTTCCAACTCAATTTATACTTATATTTTCATCTAGTTTCCTTATGCTGAACACCCATAACTGTTCAAAATTGGAATTGATTCCCGTATAAATGAGTTGGTTCAGACTGGGAAGGGGATACTTCCATTAAAAGAGTAACATCTGTTCTAAAAGCACAACATTTTGTGTTTTATTCAGCAGAGATTATCACAAGCACCTGGTTCTAGCTGTGCTCATTTATGGTGGGAACACCATATGGGCATGTATTTGTCCTGGCTCAGTGTATGCTAGCTCAGTGACAATGAAGGAATGCCAGCCTAGTTGTTCGTTATGTCCTTGCTTCCCATCTCCAAGGCAAGGTTTGTGCTATTTCTAAAGCCTTACCTCTGCAAAATGGCACTGGGAAATCCCACGATGCTCCGTTTCCAGGACTCATGAAACATGTCAGCACAGCATGGCCTTCCAGGATGTAGCCTGCGATGCAACTATATCGGATTTTATCTCCAATATTGAACCTTGTGCCATGAAGAATGCCTTTAGGTATTTCCCCAGGGTTGCCACAGGTATGGCTGGGCAGCACTATTAGAAAAGAGAGAGAGAGAAAGAGATTTAGCACAATAGAATGTTCCCAATAAATTTTCATTGACAAGGATTGCTTGTATAAGTCACATTTTTCTTTGCTTCTCTGCTTTCATTCAGAGCAAATAAATTTCAATTAAAATGTCAAAAATTCTCATGCCAGATGTAAATCTGTAATATATAGTTTTCCTGAATTTTATACTTGAGAAAGTATTTTAGTTGTTTCAGCTATTTGTATTGCAGCAGGCGTACAATTGATGCATTTCCATAAAAAAAAAAAAAAATCAATTGGAGTTTGGCCATTTGCTTCAATCTGATACGGCCAGGGTACAATGCTATTTATCTTACTATGTAACATTTAATAGAGCAGTTTGGAAACAGAATTGCCTAAGAAGATTGACTGGCATATGATGTCAAGTAAGAGATCAGACTGAAGCAAAAATCACCCTTCAGCCATTTACGTTTCCCCCATATAAGCTATAGTGGAATGAGAAGGATTTGGGAAGGCAGAGGTTTAATTTGGAACTATTTACATGGAAGCTTCAAAGGATTATAGTACTTGGCTCACTTGTTCAGACCCACAAACTAAGAAGGATTAGGGAGTGAGG